TGCAAAAGTATTTTGTCTAAATTGGTCATCTTGTTTATTAAGTATGTATTTTGCCCTTCATGCAAAAGACCTCACAGCCCTTCCTGCTTAAACTATGAGCAGCATCAGCACTGGGCTTCATGGCGAGGCGAGGAGACGTGTCACCCAAGTTCCTGACTTCCGGCCCCAAACCTGATCCTCGTTAGGAATCTCCTGCCGTCCGCACACAAAGGAGGAGCAAGAAAACGTACTCGTGTATTTTCTTGCTCTTCCCTCCGTTGCTTTCTGCATGATGCGTTTAGCACGAATCCACGCACACATATATGTACACATATGTACATATATTCATGTGTAGTGTCTTGTTTTTACCTGGCTATTAGCGCGTGTACCAAGTGTATTTCTCAATGGCATTTCCTGATCTGAATCTTCTTAAGCACTGAGCGTACTGACACAGATTCAAAGGAAGCACAGGATTCTAATCACAGAGAGACATTGCCAACATATCCAACTCAGCTTTGCAATACACATGGAGGATGTCAGCCGTTTTATAGCATACACTCTGAAATACGGAATTATAAACATATTCTACGCACTTACTTCGAGTTCACCTGCACGCAAAAAGCAGTTCTGCCGTCGAGGTGATGCTTGAGTTCTCTACAGGTATGGTTTTCGTTAACGAGAGAGAGAGAGAGAGAGAGAGAGAGAGAGAGAGAGAGAGAGAGAGAGAGAGAGAGAGAGAGAGAGAGAGAGAGAGAGAGAGAGAGAGACCTTCCCGGAACCTACCACATACACCACATAGACACAAGTAACCCGACCCGCATACCACACCGGGGGAGAATTCCTCGGCTCGCCCACCCACCTGCACAGGCTCCCCGGTATTGGCCACGCGGTCCGTCAGGATGGCAATCCGGATCCTGCACAGCACCCGGTAGCAGGTGACGTCGACCCAGCGGCTGACGAAGGGCATGAAGTGCGGCCACACGGTCCCCAGCAGGAGGGCGCGGCGCTCCCCAGCAGGGACGTGTTCTTGGTACCTGTGGGGGAGAGGAGAAGGTGGGGGGAAATAAGGGGATGCATTGGTCGTTGTTTCAGTAAAGAAAATCGTTGGTAAGATGTTGGTAAGGAAGGTTCCAGGCTGCCCGACTCGTTGTTTAAGAATTCGAAAGGGCGGCCTGATCAAAGTTCAATCAATTTCTCTCCTGACTCAACCCACATTCCCTCTAAGGCTTCTCGGAAATCCATTTGTATTAGCCGCATTTTTCAGAGATTCTTCTCATTCTTCCCCGTCTTACAGCAACTTCCTTCCCTCGAAAACACATACTAACTTTTAATAGAAGTTTCATGTATCACGAGTCCATCACCCTCGCTCGCTCTTTTTCCCCTGCGCGGCCATCGCTCTCGTGTGTGTGTGCGCGCGCGCGTGTGTGTGTATGTGTGTGTGTGTGCGTGAGTGTGTGTGTGTGTCATGTGTGTATGTGTGTGTATGTATGCGTGTGTGTGTGTGAGAGTGTGTGTGTATCTGTCTTTGTGTAGGTGTCCCTATGTGCACACACACAAACAAACACCGTTCATATATCCCTATCCACAAGAGCACCCGCGGCAGACGCCCCAAACGCCTCGCTCGCATGCAGACGAGACCGCTGACAGCCGTAATCAACGAATGGCTTCGGGCTTTTAGGACACCGAACTGCGGCGGGAAAAGGCGAGGGAAATGCGGAAATAACGCGGCTGTCCAGGAGGCAGGAAGAAGCCCTGACGAGCCCAGAGCAGAGCCGCTAAATGGGTCTGAACGCGAAGGAATGGAGGACGAGGTCGCGCTGAGGTCTGCTTCTGTTCCTCGGGGAAAAGGAGGAGGACGCCGCGCGCTCGTCTGTCGACTCATCATCCATCTTTTTATCTGTGTGTGTGTGTGTGTGTGTATGTGTGTGTGTGTGTGCGTGTGTGTGTGGGTGTGTGTGTGTGTGGGTGTGTGTGGTGGTGTGTGTGGGTGTGTGTGTGTGGGTGTGTGTGTGTGTGTGTGATGTATGCCATCTATCTACCCATCTATCCATCCACTGAAGTATGCATGTATATTTGTATATATGTATATACGCATGTCATTTTTCCATTCATATATCTAATCTCCAAACTATAAATTGCGCAAAAACTATTAAACGAGAGAACGCGCGAACATCGACGCATTCGGCCAATCGCAAACAAACCGAGTCAGAGGATATTTCCCCTCGCCTGTGCTCTCTTCACTTCGAGTTTCCCTCACTTGAAAGGAGTAGCCATTTAGCCTCAGCCCCGATTCCCCTTAAACCGCAGGAGGCATTCATATGGAAATATTTCGATTAAAGAATAAAGGAAGCCGAAGTCGGGGCCGGAGAGATCTCGATCGGACGGGAATCGATGGCGAAGGAACCCCTCGTCGCCTCTTCAGGTTTATTCCCGTCCCTGCTCTCTGAATGCCTTCTGTCTGTCTCTTTTACTCTCTCTTTCTCTCTCTCTCTCTCCGAACTGTTTATTTACCAAGTCAATTCAATATTCACAGAATCCGCGCTGGTCTTTGATACTGATTACGGATTCGATAGTTCGCTGTTATTCCGAGTCAGAATACTCCTCATGCTGCGATTTGAAACGGACCCCGTGAGAAAGTGGATCCCAACAACAGGTGCTATAGATTCATATCAAATACGAATCTGCTTTAAGTCTCTGTAAATTCTGCGACAGGAATTGACTTTATTCCGGTCTATTGACAGAAGGGCCTGAAAGCGGGGCTGAGTGACCAAACAGCGAGGCTTTGGAGTTTGCCAATCACTGCCCGCCGGAACCGAGCTCAAAGGCACAGACACACAGCGCTGTGCTTGGAGGAGACGAGAAGACCGGAGCTTAGGACGAAGGAGAGGGAGAGAACCTGGCTTACCTGGAAGTCTGAGCCAAAGTGGAGAGATTAGAGGAAGAGGAAGACTGCGGTAGAGAGAGAAAATGACTTTGAGAACTCGACCGTGGCAGGGAAGGGGATCTGAGAACTGAGTCAGACCGAAGGGCAGAGATTGACTGACGGGGACTGTTGAGCCAAGGAAAGGGAGAGGGACTTCCTGGTCGTGAGAATAGAGCCAGAGAGAGAGAGAGAGAGAGAGAGAGAGAGAGAGAGAGAGAGAGAGGAGAGAGAGTGAGTGAGAGAGTGAGAGAGAGAGAGAGAGAGAGAGAGAGAGAGAGAGAGAGAGAGAGAGAGAGAGAGAGAGAGAGAGAGAGAGGAGAGAGAGAGAGAGAAAGAGAAGTGAGAGAGAGAGAAGAGAGAGAGAGAGAGAGAGAGAGAGAGAGAGAGAGAGAGAGAGAGAGAGAGAGAGAGAGAGAGAGAGAGAGAGAGAGAGAGAGAGAGAGAGCCGCGCAGAAACAGACTGTTCCAAAGACCTTCGCCAAGTCCAAACAGCGAAACCAAACAGACGAAATGACCCCCCCCCCCAAAAAAAAAAAAAAAGCGCAGAATCAGCCACTCACCTGGAGAACTCCGCCAGGGCCAGGTAGAGGACGAAGGGCGCCGTGGAGCAGTGGGGGAAGTAGTGAGGAGCCTCCTTGTTGAGTTCGAGGTCCCGGAGCACCGAGCACATCTGCCACACTTCAGACTCGATGTCCTCGTCCATCTGCCGACTCGAAGACACGTGGTGCTTAACCTCAGGCGACGCGCGAGAGGTGGGGGAGGGGGTGGCGGGGAAGGAGAGAGGGGGGGGGGGGGAAAGGGAGAGGTGTGGGGGAGGGGAAGGCGGGGGTAGGTGAGAGAGGGGGAGTGAGGGGGGGGGGGTGGCAGGAAGGGGGAGGCGGAGAAAGAGAAAGGGGCGGGGTGTGAGAGAAAGGGTGGGGGTGAGAGAGGGAAGGAGGAGGGGGGTGAAGAGAAAGGGGGGGAGAGTGGTGGGGTGAGGTGTGAGAGAGGGGAAGAGTGCGAGGGGTGGGGGAGGGGGTGTGGGGACGGAGCGAGGAACGGAGGACACAGGTAGAGAGAGAGGAAAGGGAAAGAGGAGAAGGAAATGAAGGAAAAAAGGAAAGGACAAGGAAATTGGGAAGAACGATAGTAAGAAGGAGAAAGACGAATTAGGGAGGGGTGAAAGGGTGGGGGGGTGGGGGGGGGGAGCGAGGGCCCAGCGAAGGATGTGTTCGAGTGAGGAGGAGGAATTGAATTAAGGAGGCTTATCTGGGTCCGGCCGCGCGAGGTCGGGAGGGAAAGGAGGAGGCTTTTTACCTCCTGGTCTTCGGGGTTCGGGATAGTTTGCGGGGAATTCATGCGGAGGAACACACGCACGCACACAACTCCACACACACGCACGCACAACCACGCCCACCCACACAGACACACGCCCCGCACAACCACACCCAAACCAACACCCACACCCCCCACACGCACGCACACAAATATAAAAGCATCGTCTGATTATGAGAAAAAACAAGCCAGTCTGCGGTTCGACTTAACGAGGTTGAAACACCTTTCCTCTGGCAATCGCCATTTTCCATTGAATTATGTTAACAGACGGGGCTAATCCAATTAAAATGGTAATATGTTACATTAAGCGTATTTTTTAGATCTGTGATATTGCGAAATGTATATTTTTTGTTAGTTAGAAAAATGGCAGGTATGAAAATATATTTCATATGAATATTCAGATTCTGGATTCGTGAAGTAATATACAAAACATTTCAATGAATTTAGCGAATCCTTAATACCTATCTTGTAGTCTGCCCCTGTTGCTTTTATCGACTTATCAACACATTTATCAACCACAACTTTCCTCTGTCTTCCCTTGCTTTTGTCTGCCTGTCTGTCTGTCTGCAACCGCCCGACACTGTTCGTTATCCTCAAGTGAGACAACAATACATCCCTTGATAACCAGCATTTCTCATCAGCCATTAGTTGAGCAGAATCATTGCAACACGAATTTCAGGCTCCATTGCAAACTCGTCTTGTTTGTTATTTCATAATTGTTGCTTTTTCGGATTGTTGCTTCGTGTCGCGAATGGAAACTTTCTGCAATAATGAAAAGGATTAG